CGTGTGCTCGCGATAGCGCACGTGCTTGTGCTCACAAGGGTAAGCAGGGTTGTGAACGTGCTTATGCTGGTGATAGTGCACATGCTTGTGCTCACGAGGGTGAGCGGGGGTGCGAACGCGCGTGTGCTCGCGGTAGCGCACGTGCTTGTGCTCACGAGCGTGCGCAGGGGTGTGAACACTCGTGTGCTCGCGATAGTGCACGTGCTTGTGCTCACGAGGGTGAGCAGGGTTGTGAACATGCATGTGCTCACGACAGTGCACGTGCTTGTGCTCACAAGGGTAAGCAGGGTTGTGAACGTGCACGTGCTCGTGATAGTGCACATGCTTGTGCTCACAAGTGTTCATGGGGTTGTGAACGCGCTTATGCTGGTGATTGTGCACGTGCTTGTGCTCACGAGGGTGAGCAGGGGTGTGAATGCACGTGTGCTCGCGATAGCGCACGTGCTTGTGCTCATGAGTGTGCACAGGGTTGTGAACATGTGTGTGCTCATGATAGTGCATGTGCTTGTGCTCATGAGGGTGAGCAGGGTTGTGAACATGCACGTGCTCGTGATAGTGCACATGCTTGTGCTCATGAGTGTGCACAGGGTTGTGAACATGTGTGTGCTCATGATAGTGCATGTGCTTGTGCTCACAAGCATGCATATGCTCGTCAACTTGCATATGCTTGTGATTGTGCATATGCTTGTGCTCACGAGTGTGCGTGGGGTTGTGAACGTGCTTATGCTGGTGATAGTGCACATGCTTGTGCTCACGAGCACGAGCAGGGTTGTGAACATGCACGTGCTCGTGATAGCACACGTGCTTGTGCTCAGGAGCATGCACAGGGGTGTGAACATGCTTATGCTGGTGATAGTGCACATGCATGTGCTCACGAGTGTGCATGGGGTTGTGAACGTGCACATGCTCACGATTGTGTACGTGCTTGTGCTCATGAGTGTGCACGGGGGTGTGAAGATGCTTATGCTGGTGACTGTGCACGTGCTTGTGCTCACAAGCATGCATATGCTCGTCAACTTGCATATGCTTGTGATTGTGCATATGCTTGTGCTCATGAGTGTGCACAGGGTTGTGAACACGTGTGCTCGTGATAGCACACGTGCTTGTGCTCATGAGTGTGCACGGGGGTGTGAAGATGCTTATGCTGGTGACTGTGCACGTGCTTGTGCTCACAAGTGTGAGCAGGGGTGTGAACTTGTGTGTGCTTGCGATAGTGCACGTGCTTGTGCTCACGAGTGTCCGTGGGGTTGTGAACGTGCATATGCTCATGATTGTGCATGTGCTTGTGGTCATGAGCATGTGTAGGGTCACAAGTGTGATTGTGAACGTGCACGTGATCATGCGCCATTATGCTCAGAAGTGTGCGTGGGGTTTGTGAACATGTGTGTGGTCATGATTGTGCACATGCTTGTGCTCACGAGTGTGATTGTGAACTTGCACGCGCTCATGATTGTGCACAATTGTGCTCAAAAGTGTGCATGGGGTTGTGAACGTGCACGTACTTGTGACAGTGCATGTGCTTGTGCTCACAAGCGTGTGCGGGGTCATGGGTGTGATTGTGAATGTGCATGTGCTCATGGTAGTGCACATGCTTGTGCTCACAAGTGTGTGTGGGGTTGTGATCGTGAATCTGCTTATGCTTGTGATTGTGCACAATCGTACTCACGGGTGTGCATGGGCTTATGAGTGTGATTGTGCACGTGCTTGTGCTTGTGCCCAATTATGCTCACGAGTGTGCGCGGGGTGAGTGTGATGGTGCTTGTGCTAGTGCACAGGGTTCGGATAGTGCATCGGGTCATGCTTGTGATTGTGCACATGCTTGTGCTCACAATTGTGCACAGTTGTGCTTGCGCACTTAATTGGGCTCGTAATTGTGCACATGCTTGTGCTCATGAGCGTGCACGAGGTTGTGCTCATGAGTGTGCACACACCTGCGCTCCTGAGCACACACGCTTGCGCTCACGAGCGTGCGCAGGGCTGTGAGCGTGCAGGGGGTTGTGCTCACAAGCGTGCACACGCTCGTGCCAGCGCAGCACTTATGCTCACAAGCGTGCTCACGCAGCACTGCGCGCGTGCAAACCCAACCGCCCACGTCCCCCTGCTCACAACC